GCCAGGCTGTTGGGCATATTTGCTTTTCTTAGAGTAGAATCTGGACTGTGTCACTAAGACCACATCCTTCTCTCAGGTTGAGGGTGAGGGGACTTGCTGGAGCCTAAACAGAATCAGGGAGGAAGCAGAGCGACTTCCCATGAAGCTCTCTCCCCACGGTGGGGGGAGGAGAAATGGCTCAGGGCTGAATTCTCCCTGCTCTCAAGGGTTGGCGTCTGAAAGCAGGAATCAGAGTCTTCAGAGGTTCCAAGTACAAAGAAAAATGTTGACAAGAATGGGCGAGGGGGATGCAAAAGCCAGAGTCCTTACATATTCCGTTTGTCCACAAATGTCCTCAGATGAAGTCCTATCTCTCCCATCCACCTCCCACCCTCTCTGGCATCTTGCTCCCTACTTATCCCCTCCTGATGCCTTCCAAAAGACTCCTACTCCGCTTATACATTTTTCTCTCAGGAAATAAAGAAAACAGTGTCACTCAGTAGTCACCTGATTTGTGTCAGGACTTGAACTTTCTGTTGAGTATCCAGTGGAAGTAACCCAGGGCCAGAGAGCAGAGGGTCCAGGGTGTAGCCCCAGTTCTGTCACTAACTCACAACGTGGCCATCTAACTAACTTTCTGGCCCTTGGACTCTTTCTGTGAACGGAAACAGTAATATACTCTGCCTCAGATGGAGGTGGTGAGCACACAATAAAATGATATACAAGTTAAAAGGGTGTACGTGTAAGGCTATTTGTTAATAAATAGAAATCTGTCAAAGGATGAATCCCTGCTATGGAAATCAGTTCACAGAGGCCAGAACAAACTCCAGCCAGAGAATATACACTGAGGTACGTGCGTTCAATGGGGTGCAATGTGGCAATAAAAATGAGCAAACTAAAGCTCTACCCAACCACATGGATAAATCTCACAAGTGTCAAGTTGAATAAAAGAAGCAAGTCACAAAAGAAGAAGTACAGTAAGATTCTATTTGTAACGTTCACAATCAGGCTAAATTAAACCATATCATTGAGGGGTGTGTTCGTAGGGGTAAATCCATAAAGAGAAGCCTGCAAATTATTCTCAGAAGTCAGAATAGCTGACTTCTGAGGTTTCTCCTTTAGGGAAGGAAGGAGGAAAGGGTTTGCGTTTTGAGAAGGACATGGGCGAAGGGCTGCTGGGGATTTGGCACTCCCTGTTTCTTGCCTTGAGAGGAGGTTATAGCCGTGTTCACTTTACAATCATTCTTTAAATCATACATACATGTTTTATGTAGTCTTTTGGATGATATATGATCCATCCTACAATTTAAACAACATAATGGCATCTGAAATCAACAGGGAGCCACCCCAGATTAGAATAGTAGCTTAGAGAGCTACCGCCTTGATTTTATAAATAGGAAACTGAAGCCCAGAGAAGTTACAAGTCTTGCTCAAGAAAGGTCACGTGGTGTCATTAGTCAGACTGGGACTAGAATGAGGCCCAACGGCTCTTAGCTCAGTGTTCCTCCACCACCTTCCCCCTCTCTGAAGAAGCCTCTTCATGCAAAGGTGGTGTGTCATGTGTGGCTGGGAGCTTTTACCCCTGGGAATTCCCTTGCTTTGTGAAAAAGAAAAAGAGCAAGTTAGTGGGCTGATATAAGAAAGAGCCGGTATAAACTCTGAGGATTAGAAACACTCTTCTAATGAAACTTTAAAAGATTTCAGTGTGTCCCCCAAAGTTACATTATCATAATGATAAAATTACAAAAAACAAATACCAGAAATCTCTGGCAACTCTGAAACCTAGTTCAACTCTCGCTCCATCTGATTTGCAGATGGTATCAGGATAAAGCTGGCTCAAGGGGCTGGGAGGCGGGTAAAGGAAAGACAGGGAGCCAGGAAGTCTGCATTTTTATTGACTTATCCACCTGGCCTAGGTGAGACCCCTAGCCCTGGGACAGTCAGGAAAGGAACCTCTGCTATCTCTCTGAGAGCTTTTTTGTTTTGTTTAGAGGTCAATTACTTCCCATTTGGGGAACTTGTGAACATTAAGAGGTGACTGGAGTGATGGGACTGAACGATGCAGATAAGAGGCTGATTGCTTACAGAACGGCTGCCTGGTGAAAGCCAGGCCTCGGATAAGCTGCGGTCGGTGAGACACACACACACACAAAAGGCAGCTTTCAGTGCAAAGGAGAGATTACTGAACGGAAGATGGACAGCTGGAGGTGGGCTTGATGAGCGTGGGGAGAGGGATGCGTTTCAAAGTGATCCTGACAGGCAGAAAGCGGGGAGACGGGAGAAGAGAGTTTCCCTTCTCTTTTCTTTCCTTTTGGAAAGAAATCATCCTGTGAATCTCAAACTCGCATGCTCTCCTCTGAAGAAAAATCCACGTGGAGCACACATGGACAAGCTTTTGTTATAGGTTTATTTGTTTTGTTTTGTTTTGTTTTGTTTAGACCAGCAAATGTGGATGCTACAGTGTCTGGGAGCAAAACAGAAAATGTCACATATCAGTGGAACATCTAAAGTGATCTTGGGTGTATATGAAATCGACACTCCCTCTAGCCTCACACCCCTCCTTTGGCCAACTGAAGACAGTTTATGAATTCTCAAAAGCTGGCCTCGAGTGGTACCTCAGACTGCTATAAAATGTGATTCTGGCTTCAGTACATGCCCATTTACTTTTCTCCATCCCTAAGTCCTAGACCTTTCCCAGAACCTCTCCCAGTAACTAGAGCCATTTTCACTCTAATCACCAGGCTTAATCCACATCCTCTAAGCACCTTCTGTAAGCACTCCAGCTCCCACTGGATGTTGTTTTATTTCTAGAGAGCTTATTGTCTGTCCTACTTGACAGACAGCATATACCACCTTGTATTTTTAGAT